AAGGATCACGGTTCCAAAGTTTTAAAATCATAGAGGAACCACATTCTATTAATTGGAGTGCGCAAGCGATATTTTACAGCAGAATTGACCACTTGATTAGGTCAATTGTGATAACTAAGGGTCATATGCCATGATGAGGGATCCAATGAGGATTCTCCAGTAAGCAAAGAAATGTTTTTGAGGATGCTGGAGGAACCAATTGGGGACGAGACATGGGTTGGATTCATATCTAAAAGTAGGGAATAGTGAACCACTTGTCAGAAGGAGCAAAACTAAGGAGTATTGGAGATGGTGCAGGCCCAATGAAGTCAACAAGGCAGTGCTCAAAATTAGTCCCAACAAGAACACAGTCCTATTTAGCAGAAAATGCAAAAAAATTCATGAGAAAGTTTGCAAATCCAATGTATAATCTAATGATTTTAGAATGTTGACATGCCTCATAATAAAGGCAACTACTCATACAAGTGCCAACTAGAATAAATAGTGGTTGACATGTGTTATAATGAAGGCTACTACCTATACTAGAAACCGCTAGTGCCAACAAGGATATATGGTGGGCTAGGAGACAACTAAGTTCTTACAAGATACACAAACTCTGATTGAATAGAAATAGAAACATTTTTAAAACAAAGTGCACAAAATGTCCTTAGAGAAGAGAATTTTCATTAATGCCCAATATGTAGAGAGTTGAGTTAATTGAATGGAAGGACAATAACTAAAGTCTCCAGATTATTGACCCCATGGAATTGTATCCCATAGAACGTGGACTCTCCCAGCATATAGGAATTCCAAATTTCTATCTAAGTTGCTAAATATTATAGATAGTGTCAAAGGAGAACATAATTACCAACAGCCAAGCAAACCACCAATAAGAAAAAACAGCTGCCAATAATGCCTAGGGAACACCTCTGGGTGTGAGTGCAGGAACAAACGAATAGAAATTTTTTCCTGTGGAATCATCATTCATAAACTCTGATATTTGGGAATTGAACACCACTCAAGTGCGAGGATCACGAAACTGGGGAAAAACTATTGGTTGACTGAAAAAAACTAGTACTCATTTAAAAGGAAAAGATTCCTATGAGTCCTAGGACTCATATGTAGAAATGAGTTTCCCCTTAAAAATCCTTTTTTTTGTTTTTTGGCAAGGTTAGAAAGCGCTTAAAAATCCAATTTTGATATGGATTTAGGAAGACTTAAATTTTATAGAATATATAACCCTAATTGGAGATAATGAATATGTAAAAATAAATAAAATTTGAAAATAAAGAAGTGAGAATTTCATGAAGGAAATATGTAGAGCATTAGTTTTAACTTTTTAGAGGAACCACATAATATGCATCTATCTTTAAGATTTATGCCTTGGGGGACACAAAGGTAAAAATGTGTCCCCCGACACATACAAAACTTTTCCTATTTAAAATTAACCTTTGGGTATTTGGAAAGATGAGGCATTTCACGACCAGCCATTAGAAAATTTACCACACCAGTTTATCACTGGAGTGCATCCTGAAAGCACAAGCAGAATCAAACATAATTCTAAATTAATGGAGTAAAAGGCCTTCATAAATGAGCTACGAGATAGGTAAAATTCATTAATAATGGTAGGAGGCTCTAGACGAATAGATGAATAATGATAAAGGCACATTATAGGTTAGCTTCAAGCACCAATTAACTACAAGAGAAGCATTTCAAGCATGAGACAAGGTCTATGACATCTACAAAGCAAGCATCCTTTTCCTTAACTAGCAGGAAATTCACTTATGTGCCTCTTCTTTGGCTGTGATGAGAGCATTACTCATGGGATTATCATTGTTTCCTCAAGGAAAAGCCGAGCAGATTATTGTTGATGGCCACAGACTTATCGTGATTAGATAAGCAATGCGGAATAGCCCATCCCTTAGCCACTCATGATGATATTTGATGAAATAGCGGACCTAGTTTCTTCATTTCAGCCCATTTCAGCACATTTTCAAGATGCCTAGCAAGGAGGCAAACAATCCCACTGAAGGCGAACTGTCACACAATACCCTTTTGGTTGAAGCTGATGCTTTAGCTTATCGAGTTGCCTCAACATCTCTTTGATGTCAATGACTTGATTATTGTACATTTTTACATTATTAATATTAGATGTTGCTTCGACGTCTCTTTTTTCTTCTGAGATGCCAATGACTTGTTCATTGTACACTTCTATATTGTCAATAAGATACGGTTATGATTAAGAAAAAAACAGTAATTCAACTTTTTTTGTCAAGTAACTGCTAAATCCATGTACTTTCTTACTTTTATATGACAGGTTTATAGCTTTTTATTTGTGAATCTTTCACTAAGTTATATAAGTTTTCCACCTCATCATGCCTATCATTTAGGCCACAACAAAACTACTCACCTAAACATAATGCAGTGGGACAAAAAATTTCATAACAAGGCCAGAATAGACTTCGAATTACAATAACAGTCTGTTTGGGTACCTAGATTGGACTCTCCAGGATAAGACTATCCAGGTATTGGGCCCTTATCCCTTGTTTGGGTAACACATTCACGCGTGGATAGCTGAATCCCAGAGATTGGCCAATCCACATTGGACCCGAAATTTTACAATTCATTCAAGCTAATTTGGACCGTTGAGGTCCACGAATCACAAAGACATCTTACTTAAATATAATATTATATATTACATTTAATATATTTATTTATTATATTATCTATAATAAAATATAATACAATATAATATAATATATAATATAACAAATGATATTTTTATATCATATATAATACAAATATTATATAGATTATATATAATGTATATAAGAAGTATATTATATATATATATATTAATTATATAATATATAGTAGTATATAAATACCATATACTATATAATATAATTACATTAATAAAATAAATATAAATATATAATACATATAATATAATATAATATAATATAATACAAATTATATTATATATATAATTTATACTATTATATATTTGTATTATAGTATATCATATATATCATATTTTATTATAGGAAGAGACTACATAACGCCTATGGGCAAAAATGAACAGTATTTTCGCCCATAGGTTCAACGCCGTCCGATTTTTCCGGACGGTGTGAATTAAAGACAGTCACGGACCTACCAAATCCATGATGGAATTTTTTTTCACACAAATTTGACGGAAATAATATGGGGGCACCGCCACGACTCTTGTAGGTCCATGGCGGTTTTTGGGCAAAAGCGTCGGCGAAACACTGTAGCACTTCGCCTATAGGCATTTTTAAGACTTTTCCATTATTATATATTTATATAATATGTATAATATATTTATGTATTATACTATAATATTATATATTTCCTCTATTTATATTATATATAATATATAGTATACAAATATCATATGTTATACATAATAAATATATATTAAAAATAATACAATCACATTAATAAAATAAATATAAATATATAAACTACAATATAATACAAATTATATTTTATATATAATATATACTATTATATTAGATTACAGTCCTTATGTATTATATTATAGTATTATATATTTCGTCTAATGTTATATATAATATAAAAAGAATATATTATTTATATATTATATATTAATTATTATTGCAATATAATTTATATATTAAGGATACAATGGAAAGGAATAAGAAAAAATAAGGATTTCATCTTAGTTAAGAAAATAATATTGAAGTTTGGAATCAATGGGGGAAGTTTAACAGTATAAAATTAAATGTAGGGTAACAATATAAAAACTGCAACTGAATATCCATGGATTCACATCTTCCAAGCAATCCAAACAGTGGACATGCATACTCCGTGTTTCTTATCAGGTGCTATCCAAACAATAGATAGCCCAATTCCAAGGACAAACCAATTCCAGGAGAAGCTTATTCCTAGGACAGACTTCTCCAGGTACCCAAACAGGCCCTAAAGCACTAAAAGACTTAGATCACTAAAGTAGTTTGTACTACTGGCAAATTACCATACATGTGTCACTATTTTGATCTGAACTCATATATTACCAACACAATCTAATGAGGTGATCGAACTGTAGAACCTATGCACATGCGTTATTTGTAAGCTTATACCAAATTGCTCCGAAATTTAACAGTATATGTTTAATTTACTAATTAACTAAAACTTCAATATTTAATATTTGGACTAAATGGTAGGGAGTTGCATCAAATGTACTACTACGCTACAATCCATATTCTGTACCAATTGTATCATCAGGTAAACATAGTCGTCGATCTGTAAGCAATATTGTACCACCTTCAACTTAATTTGGTGATGAAAGAAGTATTGGATCACTTATTCAAAACTAGAAAATTGGCCTACACAAAATATAAATTGGATAATGTTTTAAATAGACCTTTTTTTATGAGTATGTTAGATGCATCATAACAAATTTTTAAATCTCTATATATATTTCATATATTATAACAATTTTATATAAACAGTTCCAAAATACTTCTAAATTCTAATCAATAAAAATTTTAAGTAATAATTGAAAAAAAAAAAACATAATTACATTTCATAGTGATTTTCTATTATATTGGCATTTGTTTATCAATATTTGGTAGCATTAGTGTCAAGCCCAGCATGCCTCTACAAACATCCATGTTGGAATGTTTCATGTTATTATTATTGCTGCCAGCTAATCAATGGTGATGTCATGTTGCAAATATCCTATCATGATCATCATTATCAGGATAGCATCACATTCATCATCATCACCAACAGAACCTTTTTCCAACTATATGGGGTCGGCTACACGAATCATGGTCTGCCATTGTGCTCTATCAAGGGGGCGTCATGTTCATTTTTTTTTATGGGGGGGGAAGGCTGGGGGGGGGGAGAAAAAAGAAAAAAGAAAGTCTACCTGCAAATCCTCCATATTGTAAATGATGGGAATCAATGAATACAGAAGGATCAATGCAAACCTGCTAAAAAATATTGAAAATAAAGTTGAAAACTGTTTCTACCTGCAAATCCTCCAAAACAGATGGGTATGCATCCTTGAGATCAACAACAGCAATGCCTTCTACAGATTTTCTTATCAGATGAAGCAGTTCATTCTTGTCCTTCACATCGTGTTTTGACTGTATAATACAGAGATAACTCAACAAAAGATTCCATATTCCTTTTGTTCGTTTTCTTATTTCAAAATATAATACCATTTACAAAGGTAGGATAATATGAATCAGATTACCTTGTATGAGAAGCGTTTCCCGTCATAATTCACTTTGACATTCTTCCTCAAACTATCAAAGACCAACTTGTTTGCATTCAAATCAACATAGCATGCTTCATTTATCTGCTCAGGGGTGAGAGCTTGCCTAGTCTGTGCAAAGCTAACAAGTGCATCAGATGCTGCAATAAAAGATGAGAGCAAATATTGGAATTTTCCATTATTTGTAAACTACCAAATAGCATGGAGTTTCTACATCTAAAAAAATACATCATAGAGGAAGAAGATCCTTCAGCCTTATCGGACAGTGGAACTTGTCAACGAAATCATTTAGATCTCTATGTTCAGAGGCTTCTTGTTGCACAATGCATAGTGAGGTAATCTCTCATCTCATCGAGGAAGTTGGCCACACCCTCAACCTCGAGAACGAGTCATACCAAAGCAAAAAAGCGAAAGTTTACAGGCTGATAGAAGATTTGTCCAGCTTTGTAGCATCAATGGAACTGCCAGGGCCAGGGGTACCAGGCAAATGAAGGTGATAGGGTGAAGGCAACAAACCACCCTAGTCAAGACCTCTTTGATTGTCATTAATCAAAAGCATCACTTAGTGGTCCATATGAAGTGAACTATTTGAGCTCTGTTTGTATTTGTAAGAGTAACACGGTTTCTGCCGCCTCCCTATGTGGCTTTCAAGGACAAAAGGCTCCAACTCTCTTCTTCTATAGTTGACCACTATTGACAATAGAAATTGAGTAAACTACAATGTTTGGGTATCTTCAGTAGAAGAAGTTTTTCCCAGGTCACAATCTATTGATAACTGAGGGTGATAAACTCAATACCAGCCCTAACACGAGCTCTAGTGTTCAAATGGGGAATAGTCATCTGTGGATGCATGGATCTTTAATGGCCTTCTACCATTTCCTTCCATGAGCAGGTGTAATTAACGGCTACGATTCTGCAGGGGCCTAAAGAGCCAACAGCATCAACATAGCCTGGCAACCTTAGAAACCTATATTATGCTAGGACTAGGTGAGCATTAAACTGACTTCAAATATGATTGCGTTTTGTGTTTAATTCTACATACCTAAGATAGAAGTTATTAAAATCCCATTTGACATTAATTATGGTAAAAAAACCTGGCTTTTCCTCAAGATCTACCACAAATCAATCACAGAAGAATCAACTTTTGACATTTGTCACATAAAGGTATGCCTCAATTGATAGCAATAATGAATCAATCAGCCAGAACTCAAAATTCAATTTTTTTATTCAATTGTATCATGCTCCACATGAAACAAAAAAAGAGCATACAAAAATCTACGAAAAACCATATGATGGCTACTGGCTAATCTAGAGCAAGGTGGCGTAATCGCAAATATTCAAAATTTAGAAACACTGCATCCGCTTCAGGAGAAAAATAGGCATTTTCCTAACTTAGATAATAGCAGGGAAGTTTGTGTAAACTGTTATTGAACCCTACCTCTAAAAGAAGGTCAAGGACACGTTTCATCTGAGCTCCTACTGGGGATTTCCTGATAGAATTGATTTGTTGAAGCCTCTCAGTATCACCTGAGAATTTGGTTGCAGGGGAGGGCTTCTGTGGAAGTGGAGAGGGCTTCTGTGGAAGCGGAGAGGGCTTCTGTGGAAGCGAAGAGGGCTTCAGAGGGGTGCTCTTCGAGGGTGCTGCTCGATTTGCAATGCTGCTGAGGGTTGACTGGCATTTTTCTTGCTGTTGCTTAAACTTATCTAGCTGTTGCTGCAAAGCCATCTGCATAATAGAATTTCACATTATGCATATATTTTATGTAATTTACAGTCCCACAACAAGCCTAGCTCCAGTAATGACAGGAGAAATAACCTTCTCAACATGCATCTATTGAATCTCATGTTATTTTTTCTTGAGGCAAGTCAAAACTGAAACTGAAGGAGTGTGAGATGCCAAGATGGCATCCACATCACATGTTTGTTTTTTACCATTTAAACAGTATATAGTTATTGTATTTTGCTCTTTCAGTAAAAAGAAGATCCAATAAAATAATTCCATTATGAGCACCAAAGATTTAAATTTACTTCCTTAACAATGACAAAGCAACCATGAACTGTTCACCACATTTCATTCACGATTCAATGAGAGAAGTATGATAAACTTCATCAACATTCTAGGTCCACACAATGGAGAGGGAGAAACTTATAGGACAAAACTTGAATTCAAAATGTGATCAGAGTAGCCACCAGAACTTAACGGCAAACTCAAACAATTTCACTACAACCAAATATAAGCAGCAGAATTTTCCACTTAACAAAAAAACAAGTGGATATTTTATGATGTTCATTTTTATTTTATCTTTTTTTGGTTTTGTTTTGGGGGGGGGGGGCTTGCGCGGGGGAGAGGAATGTACTAACCAAACAATATCAAATAACCATTACTATTGAAGAAAACCAAATAACCATCATTATTGAAGAAAACCCATCTTGTCCACCATTTTCAATAGTTTGCCAATTCCCATCTTACCACACACACACACACACACACATACATTGATAAGAAACACATGACTCAAGTGGACAAATCCCAGTAACTACAAGTTAACCAAAACAAAAATACAAATAATTATTGTCAAAACATACAAATAAAATATAACAATGAAGTTATCACTTGCACAGTTGCACCCAGACATTCAGGAACATTAGTAAATGTGCGATGGCATAGGAGGGACTCCACAACAAAAAGAGTAACTTCAACAACATTTTTTCCCAAATGCATCAAAATGGGCAACTATAATAAGATAGATAGGATTGCTAATCTTGGACTCAAACAGTACCTTGCATCAAACATAAATTGCCTAGACTGATCTCCAGTATCAGCAATAGACAATTGAAAACAAATGCAAAAAGCAATACTGAGTTCAGACCAGAATCATTTCCTCTTACTGTAATGAAAGGGAATTGAATCTCTCTAAACCTTGTAGACCTATATTCATGATGTGGGTTTTCCCTAAATCAGTTATAAAATCGAAAATGAACATTTAAAGAAAACAACTTTATTGGCATGACATTGTAAATTGAACCATTTTGCCACCTGAGCAATGTACCAGCTACAATGTATAGACAGTTATACACTTACAGTAGATGAAGAAATGGGTTCAGAGTACTTACCCAAAAAAAAAAAGAAATGGGCTCAAATTGCATAACATAAACACAAAATACTGGTTCACACACATGCGTCCAGGTGCACACATGCAGAGGAAAAGTAAAAGAACAAAAAATATCCAAAAAGTCCCAGGAGAAAGCCAAATCCATAACTCACAGGAGTTCTATGCATCAACTAAAATCCATGAAGGACCCCAGAAGTGTTGAATGGCACATTACTGGACTGTTAATGTATTTAATTCGATAATCAACAATGATTACAGGGCATGATCAGTGAGTATCATAAATCTGTACATATTGATCCATACATTAATCTGTACAAAAAACCTCCAAAAGTAAACCCTATCATTACCTAAGCAAATCCTATACGAGATCTCAACAGAAACCCTTGGAATTGCAGAGTTTGACCCACAGAACAAGAAAATGTAAGACATAAATGGACAGAAAACACCCAAAAATCACTCATAATTGAACTTACATCCAAAAAAGAAGAGGAAAGCCCTAAAATACCAGTATTAACATACCTCGCCTTTCTCTACGAGGGCTCTTTTTCTTTGTGATGGAGCTCCTGTGGGCCAAAAAAGACAAACTAAATAAGAAAAATAAACAGGGAATCAGACACATAGAAAGTATACAAACATAGAAAAACCCATACAAGAGAGAGAGTGCCCTACCTAGATAGAGAGAGGAATCTAAATTATCGGAATTCACCTACTGGAGAGGACTCTCTCCCCTGAGAAAGATACTTAAAAACTTTATATAAAAGGAACTCCAACAAATTTAATTCAAACCCCAGAAAAAAAGCATCTCACTTAAAAAACAATGCAAATTAGGGGAATTCAGAATAAAATCTCCAGCAATCCATATCAAATAGGAGAAGAACAAGAAGAAACAAGAATTCCCTCAATGATTTAGGTTGTCAGATCAAAATCCGAACTAAATTGAGCAAATTTCGTGAAACTATTCATCAATTGAAATAAATCTTGGAAAAAATTGCAGACGGATCGAACTGGATGATATAAATAACAGAATATTTCTTTAAGTGAATTTCTCATCGAAAATGACACCAGATTTATTTCGTAATCCGAGACTAAGAAGTAAAATTGAGCAAAAAAATATGACCTTACTTTATCGGGTTGAGCGAAATTAGAATAACGATAACCGAAGACAAGACATAATGGACGCAACGGACGGCTCGTTACGTTAAATAGGAGACCTGATTACATTTTTACCCCTAGTAAAATCAACAATTACACTTTCTTCCCTTCATCCTTAAAATTTGAGGACCATGTCTTTAAAATTAAAATTAACAACCATATTCCTTGACACTTAAACAAGGAACGTGTTCTCTTCCCTAATACATCAACAAAAAAAAACATTTACCGTAATTTATCTTTCCTTTAAATTTCAATTAAAAGTAAAATGATATAGTTGTTTATTATTTCTTTTAGAAAAAATTAAAATGCAACTTACACCAATCCAAATTACTGTCGAACCAAGCTTTGAAACTGTCGGACCGTGCTTTGAAATACTGCCGCTCCAGCAGTTTCAATGCATGCTCTAGTAAAAAATAACTTTTTTGGTTGGGGTATTTGCATAGAAAGTAAACTTTTTGAAAAAAAGTGAGAAAACAATTTTGGGTGGGGGTAAGTTGCATAGTAAATGTAGTTCGTTTTTTTATATAATTTTCCCTTTCTTTTTTAGAAAAAAATTTATATAAGGTTGTAACCTTAAATTGTAGAATTGAAGATGCAACTTTCTTTTAAATATGAAAATTTTCTCATCTTCTTCATGCATTACATTCTTCTCCTTCATGAGCTCTTCCCACTAAAAAAACACAAGAAATAAATTTTTAACTACAAAAGGGTGACTGAACCGGTGAGGGCACTAGTCCATTAAATTAGTTGATTTTCTAAAATAAATAATAATAAATAAATAAATAACTCACATAGTGCAAGCTCTTGCCCTGAGTCTCACCCAATCTCGAAGGAAAACTTACCATGAGACCTACAGTTAAGGCTCAAGAGAGACCAAGAAATGATCGAACCCTCCCTCTCTCTCGTAAATCTCATTCTATTAAAAAGCTCAAAGCGTAATTTTCCTATTTTGTCTATTTATATCTATATCTATATTTATATTCATATTACATTATTAAGTCAAAATTAAAAGATAGACACAAGTTGCAAAAAATAAAAAAATGCCTTAATTATATAGAGATTACACATTCATCACTTTAGCTTTAAGCGAAGAAAGGGAGATAATTGTTTCTTGTGAGAGAGATATTTTTTATCCCACCTTTTCCTAAATTTGTGTGGGAAAGGTAGAAAAAAAAATAATCTCTTAAAATAAGATTTTAGGGAGAGAGAGAGTTTTTTTTTTTTTAAGCATAAAGGGAGAGAAGTTGTTTCTATATCCTAATTTGATATGTTCACATTGTTTGGGAAGAGAGAGAGAGAATTATTTCCATATCTTAAATTGAGAGGAGTATCTCCAAATATTGTCATAATATGTAAAAAGCCTAAAAAAAGTATAATCAAATCATAATATAGGATGTAAATATTATACTAGTTATTAATATTAAGAACTTCAAATTGCAATCCAAAAAAGGAAGGTATTTAATTTCAAATGCTTGAAAATTTGTAATAAAAATTAAATTTTACTGCATTAGGAAACAAAGAAACACAAAAACAAACTTACTTTTTAAGAACTTAAAATTAAAGCTATTACGTAAAAGTGCTGATAAAAAATAAGTTATTGTGAAGAAAAATTGCCCTTTTATAATTTTAAAAATAAATTTTAAAAGCTACCCCATCATCTTTAGCAAGAGTGTCTTTATTTCATACATTTTTTTGACAAGTAATAGAAAGTAGCAATACTTTACAATCTCTCTATTTCACTGTCACATGTCCTACATCTTCTCTAAATATAGGGTCATCTTTTATTCTTGTAATATGTGTCCACTTTTTTAACTTTGGCTTAATAATGTAATATAGATAAGATTTCACTTGAAATTTCACAAATGAAAATTTGTATATAAGGCGTCAACCTTATAATATAAAAGCAAGGCACACTTCAAAAGCTCACGGGAGGCTATTCAATTGTTAGAAAATTCTCTAATTCATCACTTCGACTTTGAGATATATGGATGAGGAAAAGAGATTTCTCCTAAACTTCCTACATTGTGTAACATATTATTTAGATAGTTTATTTTCCAGATTTTCAATTTTTAATAGTTTTATGCGATCTGCATCATCACTGGAGACTTAAAATTAATAGTTCGGGTAAAAATAGATTTCCAGGTCAAAGCAAGTGTTTCAGACACTAAAAATTGTTTTTTTGGGCTTGAGTTTGAAGTGCACCTCACTTTAGTTGATTAAAGTTGACACCTTGTGCAGCCTTTCAGCCAAAAAAAAATGGTATTTATTTTTGAAAAAGGTTTTAAAAATCCAGCAATCTGGATCCCGAACCCCCTAATTTTATTTTTTTAATTTTAATTTTTCATTCTATTAGTTTTAGTTTTAATATTTGTATAGTAGATTACTAATCCAATGATTTAACACAGACCCACACCCCACCGAACCAGACTTTAAAACATTATTTTTGAGAGGAGGCTTACATGGATTGTTTGTTATGAGACTATTTATTTTTGGTTTAAAGAGATCACAATACTTTGGGCCATTAGATGTGAAATTCAATCAATGAAAACATGTTACAAGTTACAACATTCAAAAGTTTTTGTTTTGACTTTTGTGCCTAAACACTAGCACATCCTCAAACACCCAATTTCATGTTTAATAGTTAATAATGATTATGATCCCTCAAACAAAGTGCTAGCATGGGAATTTTTTATTTATTTGAAGTTACTAGATCCATCTAATTAAGCTAGATGATTATTTTCTAAGATTTTTTATTTATTTATTTTGAGTTTATAAATATCTAGATCATTCCCTCAAAAATTATTATTTTTATTTAAGTTATGGGATCCATCTAATTATAACTAGATGATTATTTTTAAAGAAAAAAAAAAAAAGATTTTGGGTTTATAAATATTTAGATCATTCACTCAAAAAATTGGATGTTCGCATTTCTTTTTGGCACAGACTAAGAGTTAAAATTGTTTTTCTTTGAGTTCGTTTGCCTTGTCAGATTCTAGAGATCCGATCCCCAAAATTTATTCTTCCTAACTTTCAGTCAATTGTCAGTTGGAAGTTCCTGAAAAACTGTAAATTAAAAGTTACTTAAGAAGTTCATGGTTTTTGTGTTTGATAACGTCTCTGAGAAGTTAAGAAGTTTATAATTTATGTGTCTGATAACTCATGGGATATATGGTAAATATCTTATGTTTATATTTACATTGATAATATTTTAAATATAAATATATAATATTTATAACATACTATAATATATGATATATTGTATTTTATATTTATTTTTAATATATATATATATATATGAAAATATCTTAT